TCGTGGCATTATATATAGTTTTAATGCATAGTAAAATGCTTATTGTATGTTGATTACCCCTTTATACTCACAATAAAGGTCTGCAATCTGTTAAGCAATTTTTTTTTTGTTTGCATTATGTGAGAAACACATTTTGACTAAAATTATTCTTCCATATTTGTATTGTCACTAGTTTTTCAGGGATATTGCTTGAAATGTGTATAGATTAGGATTCGAGTTTTGGTGCTATTGTGAAGAAGTAAAAAATACCCATACATTATTCTTCTGTTTTTACTAGTTTCTATATATCATATAAACATCATCTAGGGAGAAAAAAAAAAAAAAATGTTTAAAGTTTTAAAATAAGCACAGCTTAATTGTTTTGCACCTGAAAGAAGCAGTGCAGCTGCAAGGATTTTTTGAGCAAAGTAGAATTCCTGACTGATCTGTCATCTATAAAGTGTGCAAAGAAAAATAGGTAGCTGTCATTAAAATTACATTTCAGCTTTCAATAACCATTTAATGAGTAGCGTAATTATATAAGTATGGTACCTCAAGTACTTCACTCAATAATTAAAAATAATCTCATCTTTAAAGTGAAAGCGCTATAATTATTATTTGACTTAACCAGGACCACTGTTATGATCTCCAGTGGCACCTCAGATTGTTCAAAGTGGTTTTGAAAGTATAAATTAAAATTGGATAAATCATTAAATTATTAAGCTTTAAATATCTGAAAATGAATATAGAGTGGAATTTGGAAGTCATGTTGTAAGAACTGACAACCTTAGACTGCAAGCATATATTTGTGTTAAAATTTTCCTTGTCTTTAATCATAAAACACCGCATTAATGATTGGGTGTTTTATATCAACTAGAACTTGAATTTTCACAATTATTAAATACCATTTTTAAAGAAGACTTTAGATTAGAATACAAAGAAAATATTAAGCAGAGTGCAGACATGTCAGCAAAGAGATCTATATCCATTTTGATACTTGTGAGCAGGAGAATGCGCAGTTTGATTTCCTAAGTGGGATCACTTTTATCACCAATTCCTAAGCTGACAGCCATAAAACCCTTTCATAGTTGACATAAGATTAGTAAATATTTATTGCTATATAAATAGAAATGTGCTGTGTACCCACAAGTAGTGGTGCATGAGTGTACACATACATACATAGAGAGAGAAGACATTTTTTCATATCAAAAAATGATACGTACTTTGAAAACACAAGAATTTGGATTCTGATTCTTTTTTAAGTGTTAAAAGTTTATCTGTGGAGTAAAGGAATTTCAGTTAAGCTTCTTGTCTTAGACGTCTTGTTGTTATCTGTTTCCCTGGTCTTCTCTATGAGGAGTCCTGTACTGGATTTTTGCATCTCATGTAAGACAGCTGTTTTCAGAGTAGATTCCTTATTGAAGGAGATGATTGAGCAACCTGTGATCCCTACATGGTTCTCCACGTGCTTTTCCACTCACTGAGCACTAGCGTAAGCTTAAGGTGCTCATTGTGCCTGCTATGTACCCAGTGCCTCTTCCTGCTCTCAAAATGAGGGGCTCTGCAATGCTTCTTATTGCCAGAAGCAGAAGCTATGTGCAGCACCTTAATAAAGCTTTTCTTTGGAGTGAGGTTATACTATAGTTTGTTAAAAAATACAAAATAGTGTGCTTATTTAAGTTAGTTTTCTCCTTGTTATAGTTTCTACACGTGTTTTTCTGATAATACTCAGGAAGTGTATTTGGCTTGCTTCTTACTCTGGTTTCATCTATTTTATGTCTACAGTCTCAAACGTTCTTAGAGAAGAAGTTACTGCAGGTGACAAACCGATGTGTTCTGTGTGAATCTAGTACTGTAATAAACATATAATTTACAACTCCTTCTCCATGCATCTCTGAAATCCAAAGAAGATGACTTTTGAAATGTTCTTTTTTATTAAATGCATCCATTTCTAGTTATGCTAATTTCTCTTGAAACGGCTTCCTGCTGTGTCCATTAGTTTCAGCTCCTAGCCACCTAAGTACCAGCTCCCTTTAGCCCTGAGTCTCCATCCATAAGCAAAGTCAACTAAAATACACCAATGGAATTGATTTTTTCCAGCAGAAAGAGTATTCATTTCCAGGGAAGGGAGTTTCTCCAGTTAGATCAGCTGTAAGAAAGATACTCAGAAGGTGTTCAGTCCCTTTGAAGGAACTGCCTTGTTTTATTATCGCATTAAAGCCAATAACTCCTGTAGTGTTGAAAAGCTGGGCACTTTAGCCTTCCTTACTTTGATACTGATAGAACTGGATATTTCCACTCCCTTTCTTCTGTAAGTGTGATAAGATTTAATTTAGTTTGTTGGGTTTTTTGTTTTTGTTTTTTTTTGGGGGGGGGAGGGGGGGGGAAGTAGGGGGGTTGGGTTTTGTTTTGTTTTTTTTTCTCTAGCTATTGCATTTGAAGTTCAGAATCCTTCTTGGGATGTTTGGGACAGGATTGATAGAGCATCTTTTTTTTTTTTTTTCAGTGGAGTCTTTCCCATTTTTGAGGCTTGGGATCTAAAGATTAGTATGATCCAGAATCAATTAACATTTCTAAAGGAGACCACAAATTCAGTTATGAGAATCATGAATCTTATATTCATAACTCTTAAGTATACACCCTAACAGTAACTTGTATGAATGATATTTATTAATAGCAGGTGTACCATTAAGAATGCTGAAGTATTGAAGTGCTTTAAAGAAGGGAAATTATTGGGTTTTTTTTCTGAAAGAATGCTTCAGAATAAAGAATGATACACATAGAGTTGTTCGTGAAGGACAGCTGGCTGCATGTCCTTTAAGTCTTAGTGGATGCATCAGACCACAGATCCCCCCAAATTTTCCTTGTTGTGTCCTGATGAAAGAAAATATTTTTTACTGAAAGTCTGCTTTTCTTCACTAGTTGATCCTTTGAGCAGGGCAAATGGTACAGCAGAAAGATGATAAAGGCCTTGCATTTTTCGTGATAGTATTCAAGTAGGAAGAAGATCTTGTTGCCATTCTTGTAACAGTTCCAAAAGATCTTTTTCAGCATGTAAACGTAGCATTGTGAATGAGCTTCCTTTACAGTCTGATTTTTCCCTTTTGAATTTTGAACCTTCCAGAACTACAATCTGAATAATGGAGCACGAGGATGTAGCCAAACTTCCAGAAATAAACATATGTGTTCTTATCAGTTGCATAGGTGAATTTCCCAGTCTCTTCTCTGTTTCTCTTCTGGACCTCATGTCATAAAATATTCTTTTCTCATCATAGCAGAGTATGTTTTGTAACAATAGTGGCAGAAGGTTTTTTTTCCAACGGTTTGTTGATTCAAAATGAGTGAAGAGTGAAGGGAGGAATTGGCATTTTGTACTTTATAAAATGCTAGATGTTAAGTTTCTGAATGGTCACTCTTGAATTACTAATTACAAATCTGGATCCGAGTAATCGTTTCCTATTTCACACTTAAACAAACAAACACTTTCACACAGCCCTGCCACTAAAATACAGAAATATCTGAGATTTCACTGGGGACATGTTCTTTTGGAGGGACATCTTTTCATGGCACGTGTGTTTTTACTTAGATTTTGAAAGTCACTCATCAAAAACAAATTGAGTAATTTTGATTTTCACAACTTACTGTTTTTATGGGAAATTTGCCACAATAAGTGCCATCTCTGCACACTGCATTCTTTACCAAGGGAGAGTCAGGCCATAAGCATAAAGAGAAGTGTAACAGTCATTTTCATAGACTAAGCAGGTCAAACTATCAACCTGGCCTAACAAGACTCATCACTAAACATTAGTTCCACATTCACATATCTCTTAAATAACTCTGGGGACAGCGATTCACTGGTCAGCCCCTTCCAGCCCCCTCTCTGAAGAAATTCTTCCTAAGGTCCAATGTAAACTTCCCCTGGTGCAGCCTGAGACCATTTATTGTGTTCCATCACTTGTCACCTGAGAAAAGGGTCCAGATGTTTCTCTTTCCATCTTGTCCTAGGAATCTAATTCTACTTTATCCACCAAGTTCTGTCACTCTCCAGAGACTTCGGAGAGGTGAAACAAGACTGATTTGCAGTTCTTGTGATGGTTCTTAATGGCTTTTATTAATTTATCCACTCAAGTCTCTGTCTCATCTACAAACAGAAGCATGATACTGAATGTAATTCTCTTTCTGGACTTGCAGCTGATTGTTTTGCAGTTTGATCTGCTAGAAATACAGTGTCTTATTGTATCCAGACATTTTGCTTTGAAGGAAAAGGCTGAAAGAACTTGGTATCAGTAAGCAGAACAGAGCCTGTAAAGGTGCCTGATGCTATCTTTAAATGCATCAAGGAGATATACAAAGATATAGAAGAATTATTAAGCTGCATGACAAGTTATGCACCAGTAAATAGTATGAATAAATTTTATTTGAAAAATAGAAGATTTTTTCTGGCTTTTAATAATCCTTCAGTAGAAGCACTTGTCACATAGAAGAAGGACTCCTTGTGCTTGCTTTCTCTCAGTTTCACTCTTCTATGTATGCTTTTATATCTCGAGACATAAAACCAGATGTTTTACAGACATATTACTTAGGTAATTTCAGAGAAACTTTGAACATCTGCTATGAAAAAAAAAAATACTACTGTTACACAGTCAGCTCAACATTTTTCACAATACAGATGAACTTTTACATTCTTTGTAAAATCATAGTCATCTATTTATATGGTATAGCTCTTTGCCTTTATTCTAGTAAAATTGTATTTAGTAAGTTGAGAAGGGCCTCGAATGAAACTTGCAGTAATATTAAGTCTTAGATTGCCAGAACAGTCAGGCTCCAAATTGAACATACTGGCTAGTTGTTTCAGTTGCCAGCTGTAAGAATTTGAAGGTGCAAAACTCAGCCTTCACTAAGTAAGTTTTGTCATAAACTAAAATTAGCATGTGCAGTAAAATCAATTGTAACACTTATTGTATTATTTATTATCATGATCTGTGTTATAACAAAGGCTTCTCACTTCTATTTTGTATTAGGAGGATCAAATGAGAATGGAAGCACACAGCACACCTCAGATTCTGCTGGAACATTTATTTCTTACAGGTTCGTAATTTTTTATACTAATTTTCTAATTTTAATAAGCTTGAATGTAATAAGCAACTCAACCTATTTAAAGCAAAATAACAAGACTGTTGTACGACCTAAATTGCAACAGTTAGTAGACTGAAGATTAAGGATTTAATTAAGAATTATCTGAAAAACTTGTTTTCTAGATTATTATTTTATGAGACTTTTTTCCAAAATATTCAACTGAGGAAAGTTTTGGACATCTGAAAGCCTAAATACTTTCTTCTCTAAGGTATGCAGTAAAGTAGAAATTCTCACCTAAGTTGATAGAAGCTAAATGTTGAAATTTTTAAGTGATCAGGGTCACCTTTCTGATTTTCTCAAAAATAACTGCATTTGCAGGCAACATGGAACTCTATTTGTTAATTACTACAATTAAAACATAAAACAAAACCGTAAGATTTCTTAAATTCTGGGACTAATCTTTCAATTCCATTAGTAGTAAATACCAGTTAAAGAAGCATAGTACTGAGCAGCTCTGCACAGCACTGTCAGTAAGCTTGAGTCTTGCTTGGGTAAATACCAGAGGATGTCTTGTACTTGAAAGCAAAGGAAGGTAATTGGCAGATCTGTAGTTTCGTCTTTCAGCCAGCAAAATACTGCCTCTGCTACAAATGCTAAATCTTTGTCCTTCTGACTGATAATTAATAGTAAGATTTGTGCTAACTAGAATTACTGCATCTGATTTCAATGTTTAAGTATGAGAAAATAAAAGAAGCCTACCATCAGATTATTTTGTATTCACTGAAGTAAACTGTGATGAATAGCATCTATTTCTTTCTCTGTTTGTAGTCTGTTGTAGCCTGTACTTCAAAGGGATGGGGCAGGCAGGAGGAACTTGCCTGTTTGCCTTGTCCTGGCTATGGCTAGATAGGAATATAGCATGCTCCTTGGCCACCAAGCTGTGCTCAGTATGAGCAGCCCTCAGGTTGGGATGACCAGTGGGGACACAAGTTGAGAACTTGTTACAGACTGGTAACAGATTGCTGACAAAAGCAGGGAGAAAGCAGGCTTTCCTTGAGGATGTTAAAAAGAAAGAATTCTCATGATGACCTAGATGGAACAGCAAAGATCTTGCTGCAGTTCTGACACCCAGAGAAAGCTTCTGGGCTGAGAGCAAGGTTAGACAAAGAGATGTGCCTGCAGGGATACATTTGCCCAGTGGAACCAAATCCTTGCAATTTTCTGTATGCTAATAAGTCCATGGTTCTGTTTTATGTTCTGATGAAACCTACTTTGTACGATCAAAAACCCTTTGAGGACAGTTAGGATGTTCATTTTAAAAATATTGTGTTAGCAGATCCATTTCAGGGTTCTGCCTTAGTTTTGTGTTGTATTTGTATTTTCTAACTTACGCAGCATCCAATTTAATTTAAAAGGTGGGCTCAAAAATACCACCAGCAATAATTTCCATGCTGTTCAGATCCAAAGCCTATACAGATACAACGACCGTGTGTTGGTTTTGACTAGGAGAGAGTTAATTTTCTTTATGGCTCAAACACTGCTATGTTCTGGATTTGTGATGAAAACGGTGTTGATTACACTGGGATGTTTTAGTTGTTGCTGAGCAGTGCTTTCACAGAGCCAAGGACTTTTCTGTTTCTCATGCTGCCCTGCCAGCAAGGATCTGGGCGTGCACGAGGATCAGGGAGGGTACACAGCCAGGGCAGCTGACCCAAACTGACCAAAGGGATATTTCACACCATATGGCATCATACTGAACGATAAAACTGGGAGAAAAGAGGAAAAGGCGAGGATGTTTGCAGTTATGGTGTTTATCTTCCAAAGTAACCATTAGATGCGATGAAACCCTGCTTTCCTGGAAATGGCTGAACATCTGCCTGCCGATAGGAAGAAGTGAATGAATTCCATATTTTCTTTCCTTGCAGGCACAGCTTTTGCTTTACGTATTGAGCTGTCTTTATTTCAACCCAAGTGTTTTCTCAGTTTATCTATCCAGTTCTTTTCCCCATCTCTGTGGGGTGGAATGAGCAAGTGACTGTGGGGCACTCATATGCCTGATGGTGTTAAATGTCAACAGGCCATGAAGCAGCCTCTCAAAAGGAGGCAAGACAGAATTTAGCCACATCAACAAAAGGAAAATGTTGAGAGCTCTTCTCTGCCATTAATTACAGGACACTTATAACTGAAACTGTTAAGTCCAGAGACCAGCTGTTGTGCCCACCAAAGTTAAGTTTGGGAAAGAAGCTGCAGCTAGACTGTGGTTCCATGAGCTGTGCTGTGGGGCTGGGATCCTAACCCTCTCATCCTCCCCCTGGCACTCACCTGTCATAGAGCTGGTCCAGTGGATTTGAATGAGCCCATCTGGGGTGAGTATAGTGGTGATTTAGTTCATGCTGTCATCCTCATGAAAGTTTGAGTGAGTACAAGTGCCAGGGGAAGGAAAACAGCTAAAACATACAGCTAGAAGTAAGTGGTTGGATGGAGAGTAGCATCATTTCCTTTGGTCAGCCTAAACCATAGCAAATCCTCCACTTGAGTCAGTCTGTGGTTCATTGATGGAGGCTATGCAACCCAAGATATCTATCAGTGTAGAATCCCATGGATTGACCAGGCGTAAGACACCCAGGCTGTACACTGTTCAGCATCTTCTTTGCATTGATTCAGTCAGATAGCTAATGGGCAATTATTCCAGTGCTGCAGAATTTAATGTTTAACACTTACCTGTCAGTCTCAGGACTTACGTGTGTATGCTTATGGATCTTATTCATGTATCTTTTCAATACTTTAGGAATTTTACGCCTTGTTACTAAAAAAATAATTAGGACAGTTCTTACAGTCTTCTAAACTTATTCCAGTGTTCTAAACCATCTTTAATGCTCCACGAATAAGCAGAGGATAAAGCTGGCTGTTGTATCTCAGTATTCCTTACTCCAAAGTGAATATAATAAATAAACATGACGTTGACGATGAATTCCACTGGAAAATAATCATATTCTGTCAGAGAAGATTACAACACAACTTCCAAAACTGAAGTCAATTAACATTTTAAAAGGAGCCCCATATATCACTGCCAGAGTATTATTGTTGCAATTAGAGGCAAGATGATAAAGCAAGATAGTACAGTATGTATATGTGTATGTATATATACAAATAAAAGAAACATTTAGTTTTTAATAGTTACCAGGCTAGCACCATTTTTAAGTAATTTTACAGTGTTTTAGTTATGAAATGAAAGTTTCCTGCTCAGTGGCAAGAAACAGCCATCATACTATGAGACAGGCTGTAAATTTGCTGGTTGAGTTGAATATTGTATTGATAGTTACAATTCTGGGCTGCACGTTACGTAAAAATGAGCAGCTAATACCTTATGAAAGATTAAAAGTGAATCTTAAACTACCTTGAAAGTTAACGATGGTAAATGTATGTTATTTCTTTAAGGACTCATTAGAGATTTTGATTTAGCTGTCAACGAATATTGTTTCAGTAAATTACTCATTTGATAAAACTGATGATAGTCTAGTTTATCCAATGTGTTTCAGTCTACTCTACTTAAAAGAAATTGGCTAGTGGATTTTGCTGTAAAAGAGACAGGGCCTTCTGTGGATCTTTATAGATGTCACGATTGCAGATGGCTAACGGATTCAAATTCTATGAGAAATTTTCACTACTAAAGCTGTTTTAAGTTTTTTCAGTTTATTTAGAAGAGGGACTTTTTAATATGGTGGTGTCATCTTAGAGTGTGTGGTTCTTGCATTGGTCACGGCACAGATTTAATGCTGCTTATGTTCAGATAGTAAGCATTTCCCTCCAGGTCATAAAGTTTCTAAGTAATGTAAGTGAAAAGCATGTGTGAGTGGCACATATTCCTAAATATTCTGCAAGTTTGAATGCATCCTGACTGGTCACAAAATTTTCTAATTGGTCTTCAGGTTCTGAGGGAAAAGTTTGTACTCTTGAGAAGATGCCTTACTAATAAGATGCCATGGAAATTCTTTCCTAGAACAATGTTATCAAAATATGAAGTTCAGCATAAGAAAAAAAATTAAAAATTAAAATAAACATCTCATAAAGTCTAAGATACTTGGGAAATTTTGAGTTTCTGTGTGCTGTAATATTTCATTGCTATGAATGAAGCCTTATCTGGATATGCAAATTGGCTGGACTTTGCCAAAAGGAAAAGAAAAATAGGTGTGGATCTCTAGTTTCAGTATCTGCAATGCAGTGCCACTGGAAAGTAGAAATGCTGTCTTTCGCTTGCCTTCCCAAGGGCAGCTGACCTTCTCCTCGCCAAAGAGGTGAACCCCTTGCCAGCACATATGACTACAGACTATTACATTAATCTGTTTAGCCTCAGTACCAGCTGCTTGCATGTTTTTAATTATCTTATTAGATGGTATAACAGTGACCTATGAAATAAAATGAAGGTGAGTATTTTTTAACTTTATTTTACAGGCTATTTTTCTAAATATATTTTAATGACCTAATTATGACTTTTAGGGAGAGCCATTGATGCAGACATTCAATTTGGCTGATAGAATCTAACATCCCAAGGACACTTATTTTCTTCCAAGGTGGATTTGTACATTAATACTGCTTCTAATAAATATATAGCCTAAGAAAAGCTCTTTTTTCATACTTGCATTGTTAACTTACTGTATGATTCAGAGACCCCTGACTGCTATGCTGGATAATGTCTTACTACACTCTGCTCTTTTATATAGATTTAATTTCTACCCCATGTATCAAGATTAAGTTCATTCCATGCTTAAACATGTAAAGATTGCACAAAGTTGTGGGATATATAGTCAATATATATTCTTCCTTCTGTTGATATTTAACCTAGGCAGCAGATTTGGTATAAGAAATACTTTGTTGTTCCATTTTCTTACCCTGACTTCTTACAGATGTTGCTTGCCAGATGTTTTCTCTCTTACTGCAAAAAGGCAATGTGGTCCTGCTGGCTGAGGCATGTTTCTTGTGCACCAGCCAACAACTACAGGACTGATTTTGAG